CACACACACACACACACACACACACACACTTTTTGTTTTTGTTTTTTTTGAGACAGGGTCTTGTTACATAGTTCAGACTGGCCTTGCACTCACTATGTAGCTAGGCTGGCCTCATACTTGTGGAGGACCACATGGATGACTGTCCTTAAAAGAAGAGCAATTGTCTCCATTTTGTGGCTAAGCTTGAACCTATTTCTGTGTTTTGATATGTGCAGAGCTAGCTAAATTTTGTCTTTATCACCTCATTTGGCTTTAAGCAATCCAAAGGGTCTAGCAGAGGTGCTGATGTGTAATTCCTTTTTTGTTTTGTATTGCATAGTGTTGTGTTCAAATTAATTATTTAGATTACCAAATATATGCATGCAAAATTGGAAAAAGTAACTGCTCCTTTCCATTGATCAGCAGAAATCAACAGTACAATTATCCAAGCCATCTTGCATACATACATAAATATCTTTCTCTCCCCCATGCCCAATGTATAGTGCTTAAAGCAATGGGACAGGTCAGTGAAGTCCCACCTGTAGCTTCCAAATAATGTGTGTGAGTTAGGCCAAATGTGCCATGCTGTTGGCTGAGAATGAGCCTCAAGAAAAAAGGCTATGACTTCTTGGGGCTTGAAAAATTACACATCAAAACTAAAGCCTGACCCCAAAATACTAGATACAGCTCCAATTTGTGATATTCAGATTATTCTTTTGGCACATCTTTCTCTCTGCATATTACAGAAGTGATTTCAGGCTTTCTACTGAGCCCAGCTCACAGCACTCATGTAATTCCTGCCACTCTCACAGTCACTTATCCCTGAGTCACTCCCCCTCTTTACAAATTAAAGAACTCTGGCTTTGGCTCTCAGTAGAGGCTCTTTTCTTGTTATCCATTATTATTTTGACTGGATTTAGGACTCCCACAACTACAATTATATGCTTTGGTCTCTTTATTCTTGCCATGTGTTGCACTGGAAGTGGTAGGTTAGAATTAAGTTATTAGAATTTCAATAACTTTTCTATATGATTGCAAATGTAGAGAGCTGAGCTAGATCCATTTGCATGGCTTGAAGTCAATTGTGGGGATAAAGACATAACTTAGCCAGGTGTGCAAATATCAATACATGGAAATATATTTATTTCCAGATTTAGCCAAAAGGGAGAGAATTTCTCTTCTTTCAAGAAGAGCTGTCCAGGTGGTCCTCCACAAAACTTGAAATGATTCTCCTGTCTTAGCCTCCCCAGTGCTGGGATCACAGGCTTGTGCCACCACACCTGGCTGAAAGGTTCTAAACTAAGAAACTATTCCTGATGACTTGACCTACACTTTCCTTCTTACTGCTTCTATTCTTTCCAAACCCACTTACTATTCCTCAGCTATGTTAAGCACTGGCCCATCTGGGGTCTTTTTATTCTGGTTGGCATTTTTATGATACCCACATGGCTTCTTTTACTTGTATGTGGAGAGCTTTGTGCTCAAACATCAGCTAATCTGATGGCCTTCCTTGACCATCCTAAGTAGTGCCTCTCCCCTGATGTGCTGTATTCCCCTTTCACTCCTTGTAGCTCATAGCACTTAACACCACTCCTACTTTTCCTGTGACATATTTGCTATTCATCTACTGCTCCACCCACCCTGGCCCATTAAGAGTGTGAGCTTTGGTTATTTTGGGGACATTTCTTGAAAATGTACTCCAGTCAGTCTTGGGTTCTGAATTTCATAACAGCTTT